CTTATAATTACAGCTCTAGTGTCAAAGTTGTTACCTTTATGTGAAACATTTGTGCGGATTAATTTACCTCATCAGGTGGATCCCTTGGTCATGCTGATTCCGCTGGTTCTGCTGTAAAATTTCACCGTGTTAAATCCTGATGTGTCCAGGCTCTGTTTACATTCTGACACTTTGCAGACCTCCGATCTTTGTGGTTGATTACTATGCCAATCTTACAAAGGAGGACAACACTTGAACGGTTTCCTCCAGCTTGTTTTGCTATGTAAGCTTACGTTAGCTAATGCGCTAATGAGTGTTGCCACCTGTTAGCGCTGTAAGTGAGTCGTTTACACAAGTCAGTCCACAGGCTGCTAGAGGTAACCGAGAACTTTAGGAAAGGTCTCTTTTTTTAAGCGAGGTTATAATCCATTCACCCTTTGGCAATAAAAATGATTACTGTAAAAAGTGACATACAGAAACTTTAATAAGACTCATATGATATACAGTAAAAAATGTACTTACACAAAACGGACCCGTTCCCATACTGCACAGACGAGACATTGGATGTACTTCACATGTATTTACAGTCCATATACACATATTTATACTGACAGGTAGATACTGATCTCCATCTGCTCTTACAGAACAGACAAACCTCTTGGTTTTGAAAATAATAAGCCACTCATGTAAGATGTTAATACCTCAGCCATTTATTTCTTAAACATAAGAAAGACGGGACTTCTCCAAGGTAAGAAAAAGAACATTGCAATTTAAAATCAAGTGCACTTCAACAATGTCTCATCCTGTAAGGGAGTCTGTCCCTTCCTGCTGCGTGAAGTGAGATACACAAACTGAAAAACAATCTAAAGAATCGATCTTTACTGTAAGGCTTTGGGTGGGGTGCTGTGTTCGTCGAGATGTCGGTGGCGGTGACAAATATATATGTGGATATACCCATAAACAGCCAATCCAACATCGTAACAATGTCCTCCGCGACACCTGTGCACGAACAGAAATGTGACAAGATAGGAAGTGGATTGTGTAATGGACTCCAGGAGGAGTCGGGCAGTGGGCTCGTTTGTGCTAAAACTCCTGCTGTAAGCTGTTTATCAGGATGTGAGCGAGAACAAGGAGAAGAAGATGGCAGCTCTGCTCTTTACCTGGGCCAAACAGTATTTGTAAGTAATTTCCGGTGTTTGTTTGAACACTCTCAAGAGTACCAGATGGATGGAGTTTATTGCATCACGGACAGTTCAAATAAGTTCAGCCAGATGAGTTTCCATGATGTAAGGTATCGACTGTCCGTCACAGAGGGTTTAAAGATCTCAGGTTTTTGCCTACTTCAGTGCAGATGGCTGAGATACGCCACGTGGGACTAACCAAAAGTCAATTTAATGTACTTTCCTGTGATAAAAAAAACTGCCTGGCTCTCTCTGAATAATTTAATCCTCCTTTCCACTGTGGTAACTTGCACAGTCTTCAACAAGCACCATGAATGAGCTACAATTACTGCCTGGTCCAGGTACCATTATTGGTGACTCACCCAAAAACAACACGGATAATGACGTGGTGTGTTTAGCTTCATGGTTAAGTCAAAAGAAGTAGGTCACAATCACACTTTCATGATTTCCTACTGTACCAAAAATAGCCTTCTTTTTTAGCAGAGAAAAAATAATGAACCTAAAATCAACTTACATCCTCGTATCAGGATAAATCTAAATAAAAATCAACTAAACTTTAAGGAGAAAAAAAGTTTCATCTGCAATTTCAACTCACTACTAGATCCAATATCAAACAATGTCCTATCTATATAGTAGGCCAGTTAAGACGGTAAAATGCAGCAATTCACAATTGCCTTAGTGCGTGTTACATACTCAGTATATATAACAATATACATCAGTGGCATTTTACATTTGACATTCTCAATAAGACAGAAAGTACCTGGAGTATAACCCACGAAACGATGCTGGTACCTTGTTGAACTTGTAAAACTGTTACAGGGTTTCACATCAAGGAAGAAAAAAGTGTCGTTTGATTGAAAAGTGGTTGGATTGTAACTATTTGACGTATCCTCATACAACAGTTCATATTATAGCTAACGAAATTGCACATTCAATGGTTTGTGTAATATCCAATGAATGAGTGCCCCTACTGGTTAGGTTGAAGAAAAGAATCATGGTTGAGTGTTGTAACGTTACGTACTTTAAGTTAGGTTACTGACGTAATGTCACGTAATTGACATAAAGTTACGTAGTTTAGGTTTAGGAAAAGAATCATGGTTGGGGGTAGTCATAATAGATACATATGTTAAGTAAGGTACATAACATAAAGTCACGTACTTAAAGCAAAGTTACTCAGGTTAGGTCTGGGAAATGTAATGTTATCTAGGTTTAGGAAAACAATCATGGTTGGGTGTCATCACGTTGAGAATGAAACAGAAAGTTATGTGGCTAACGTTAAATTACGTACTTAACTTAAAATTAGGTACTTAACGTAAAGTTACATGGATTAGGTTTCGGTTTGGGCAGTCACGATAGATACACATGTTAAATAAGGTACTTAATGTAAGGTTAAGCAGGTTAGGTCTAGGAATGTAATGTTACCTTGGTTAGGTGTAGGGAAAGAATAGTGGTTGGGCGTCATCATGGTAAGTACGAAACATAAATTGACGTAGTTAACGTTAGGTTATGTACTTAACTTAAAGTATCCAGGTTAGGTTTAGGAGAAGAATCATGGTTGGGCAACATCACATTATGTACTTAACGTAAAGTTAAGTATTTCAAGTAAAGTTATGTAGGTAAGGTTTAGGAATAGAATCATGGTTGGGCATTGCCACGTTAGGTATTTAATGTAAAGTTACGTTGTTGACATAATGTTATGTAATTAACGTAAAGTTATCCAGGTTAGGGTTTAGACAAAGAGTCATGGTTTGGCGTTGTCATGTTAAATATGTTACAAAAAGTTACCTACTTAACCTTAAGTTATGTACTTAACCTAAAGTTACATAACTAACGTTAAGTTCGATAGGTTAGGTTTAGGAATAGAATCAAAGTTGGGCGTCATCATGTTAATTTCTTTTCTTATAGTTACGCACATTACATGATGTGACAATGTACCTTAAAATGACTCAAAGGGGAAAGTCGTGTGTTTGTTTGTTTTGTTTGAACCACCCCTACCTGCCTCCTTACGGAGACTTTTGCTCTTTATACGACTTCCTTCTTAACTACCATCAGCGCTTTGGTGATGGCAGCCTTCACGGTTACGTGGGTTACATACAAATTCAGGTGCGTTACTTTTCATAGCTATACATACGAACTGTGCATGAGAACAGCCTGAACTATCTATGACGTCAAATTATCATCAGTTAACTTGATTTGTTGAACAGCAGGTGGCAGTGTTTCTCTGTTACTCAATGCATAAAAAGAGTGTGAAGCCAGCAGTGTAGCCATCATAGACGCTTTCTTTTTAGGCAATCTGTCTTGCATCTTTGCTTCACCCAAAAAGGAAGAGCTGTACAATTTTGTCGTGTAAATAGTGGCTACAAAATGTGACAGAAAACATCTACCATGGCTAGTGTTTATCAGGCTCCATCTTAGGAACCGAAGACTGTCAATGATTTAATCAGTAAGCAGGTTGGTGTAGGCAGTTGATGCTATAGAGTACATACCCTCATCCTGGACCGATTACCCCAATAATTCTCAAATTTTGAAGACATACTGAACTGTGTAGAGTTAGTTGTTGCTTTTTGTGAATTCAGAAGGAGGGCAGTATTGTAGAGCAGATGTGAATATTTGTATGAGTGAAACCCCAGTCCATGTGAATGACAAGAAAAGCCAATCGAAAACAGAAAAGTAGAAATGTTTTTTTGTAAAATACAGTAGGTCACTTGGCACAAGACAATCTTGGTGTGTAACGTGTTTGTGTGAGGGCACAGAGGCAAGTGGTTCTCTGTCTGTTATATAATGTATTCAATAGGGAAAACCTCATTGTTGTGTGGTTTGGGGTTCATGACGAGGTGGTGGGAAAATGCAGCGTGACACATGCACAAAATTAGACTTGAAAATGGACTCAGATTTGAACTGCAGCACCCGATTTCTCTTGCAGGGAGCAGCGCTTGCAAGATGTGTGAAATCAAATGTGTTGCTTTTACACATCTGAAACATTTTCAAGTGAATGCGATGGCCAAATGACGGGAACAACCTGCACATGAACCAACACTGGGAGCCAGAATCAGTGCAACCTTGTGACGTCCCCCCCGTGAGAGACATTACAACTGCACTCATGTTCTCACTCAGCAAAGTTTGAGACAGTTTAGCCTCATTTCCAACTCCCTGTGATAATATCCTGTTCTCTGACTTGTCCTCCAGGCCAATAATGAGTCAGAGGCTACAGCAACACTTGACATTTCAATGCATGTTTTGAGATTCCACTTAAAGATTGGGTTTTATGAGAGCAGATCGTTGTATAAACATACTGGCTGTATTACCTTAGTTTTAAGTCTGCAGCAGGACTTCTTCCTCACTGACCATAGAAATCTTCACATCGGTTATACTCACACATTCTGCTGGGCTTCTGCCAGGCTATGTGAAACTGAAATCATAGTGCTCTGGACCACAGAAGCAACAACTTCGACAATTATTTTCATTATCAACTGACCTGATGAGAAAAAAGTGAAAATGAGTATCATAATTTACTCAAGCCAAAGGTGATGTCCTGAAACAACTTTAACTGAATCTTTTTTGGGTTTTGAACTGTTAAACGCAGCAAATCTGCACATGAGAAGCTGGAACCATCAAGTTTTTAGAAATGAATTAAACGCTCAAGTGATTTAAGTTGCAGATTATTCTACTGTAGGGTTGCAGTGGTATACCAGCTTCAAGGTAAGGAGACTTTTTGCACGTACTTCCATTCATAAAATGGTTTCAAGTGTCAGATATAGTAATAAAACGTTTGTAAAACCAAAAATAACTAATTGTGTGTTCACACCTGCCCAAACGAACCGCACTTAGGGGGCAAACGGACTTGAGTAAGATTAATCCGAACCAAACAGGGCAGGTGTGAAAGCACCCTTAGTTTCACACAAACTCTGGACTCCTGGGTCAAAGTCCTGTCTTTGTTTGACCCCTCCGCCATCCAGACCAGCTCACTACTTGTACTTTGCTCCCATCATATGACAGACGACGGCCTGCAGTATGAATGTCACATAAATATAGCCTCCTTGCTCACAAATATTTGGGATATTTACAAATTTAGGTGCATTACTTTTCATAGGTAAAAAAGCCAGTGTTTCACAGCTAAAACACTGCATTGAAATGTTAAGTGTCGCTGGAGAATCAAGTCCTTGTCGTGCAAAGAAACCCAAATATCAATCTTCGCAGAAAACTTCCGACTCCTGTCAGGGAAAGAAAGAGCTGTAAATGATATTGAAGCACCAAATGAATGGGTGACGGGATGAGTGCATCCTACATCCATGACAACACGTGCGGTCATATGCAGGATAATCCGTGTCCATCTGAAGCTGCCACCTGCATCTTGTTGTACATTATGAATACATTACCATGGAAACATAAAGCTGCACAAAACATTAGTAAACACGGTGCTCACATGCCTCAGTATCCCAGCTCAGAAAAAAGTCCTGCTGTCATAAGCAAGTTTTGCACAATTGTGATAAGAACCATCACAATCAAACATTTTACATGTACATTATATCTGAATATGAATGTACATGTAGTCAACCGTGGAACAGAAAGAATGGAGGAGCTATTCCGTGATGCCATATACAAATATAACATGATATATAAGACATACTGACAATACCTACACGTTATAGACACATTGCTCATACATTCATATATGTCAACACTTAAATATGTATATACAGTATACATGTATATATTCATATGTATACAGATATATCAAAGGAGGAATAAATAGTGCCATTAATGAGGTGAGACAACCTAGTTTCCATTCTCCTCTCTAGTGAGACAACTATCCCCCTGGATTCATGCTAACGTGCCCCGAGGTCGTTTGTTCAGGAGAAATAGGCAATCTGATGTGTCCCAGGTAGCTGAAATGACCTGGCCCAGCATCGGCCCAAAGTTGGCACGCCGGAAGAAACAAGTTGGCTGAGACTCAGGATGAATGACGCCCCAGAATCGGGCCAGATAAACCGACTGCTGACACTGCCGTCAATGGGCCTATATCAGAAATGACCTCGCCCAGCATCAGCTCAAACTCAGCATGCCGGAAGAAATAAATTAGGCTGTGTCTGGTTGCTGGACTTGGCTGAGACTCAGGTTGAAAGACACCCCAAAATAAGGCCAAATAAACTTGCCCGATTTTGGCTGCCGACACTGCCGTGTCTGGGTCATTGTCAAAAATGACCTGGCCCAGCATCAGCCCAAACTCAGCATGCCAGAAGAAATAAGTCAGGCTGCAACCGGGTGCCTGACTTGACTGAGACTCAGGATGAATGACGCCCCAAAACCAGGCCACTAAATACTGCCATTACTGGGCTGTAATCAATACTGACCTGGCCCAGCACTGGCCCAAACTTGGCATGCCGGAAGAAGTAAGTCAGGCTGCATCCTGTTGCCAGACTAGGCTGAGACTTGGAATGAATGTCACCCCAAAATTGGGCCAAATAAACTTGCCAGATTCTGGCTGCTGATAGTGCCGTTATGAAAAATGACCTGGCACACACACACGCCGGAAGAAACGAGTCAGGCTGCGTGCAGTTGCCTGACTTGGCTGAGACTTGGCATGAATAACTCCCCAGAATCAGGCTAAATAAACTGTCCAGATTCCGGCTACCAACACTATCATCACTGGGCCGTTATCAAAAATACATCGGCCCACACACTTAAGGAAATGCGTTGGGTTGCATCCTGTTGCTTGACTTGGCTGAGACTTGGGATGAATGACGCCATAGAATCAAGCCAATAAACCATCCTGATTACGGCTGCCGACACTGCCGTCACACAGGTGGGACATAGTGGCTGAACTCCAGACACTCGTTACTGAGTGATGCTGGTGTTGATCCAGCTCATCAGCTCCGACTTTCCCTCAAACCGCCTCCTCTTTGATGGGAATTTGTCTCAGAAACTCTCGAGGAGTGACCTGTTGCAGGTTTTAAAACACTCCGTCACCATCCTTCCTGGCTCTAGGTCTACTTTACAGTAATACACTCAATAATAAATACTTTCAAAATGTACTGCTGAACTACTGCTGCCTATATGTAACAACTACAGCCTGAATATTTAGATGTGATTACATTCTATATATCTGATGGGGGTATTGACATATATTGCAATGCTTTACAAACAAAAGTTGTGGTTTGACCCTGTGTGTGCATGAAGTCAGGCATAATAAATTACTGTATGACACACACACGTAGGAGTGAGACATGTTGTGCATGGACCTCTGACAGACTGTTGATGAAACAGTGGTGTTGGATGCTGACCGAATGGCTGTGTCAGGGAATTGGCAGTGGACAACTCTCTGGCGTGATGACTGGAACGTTCTGTTGAAAGAGCGGGTGGCATCTTTTCTCTGGGGATGCATCTGACAGCTGAAACTAAAGGCCTCTAGTTTGAAGGCGGTAAACTGGTAAAATCAGCTTTTAACACCCCTCAGCTGCTGCCAAGTTTCGGTATTGTGTGTGTTATGAAAATTAGAATTGTTAACCACTATTATAACTGACATATTATACTGAAGAACCTCAGGGTGTTTCCACACCAAACCGGCTAAGTTAGAAAATGCATTTTCTTGACAGTTTAACCCTCTGTCTTCACAAATCTAGAATTTTTCTCACTCAAAAAATCAGCTTTTGGGAAAAATGACTTAAGCTTGCCCACAGAATTGGAGGCTGTGCTACAGTAAAGCTGAGAAAAGGACTTCCTGTCGCCTTTCACCTGCTCTGAGATCACTAATTTTAAAAGTCCATGTAGCCGATTACATGGCAGAGCTGCAACTAATAAATATTTCACTGTCGATTTTACTGCAGAGGAGGAAGAAGAAATTTAGCAGTGTGTTAAGGGATTTTGCACACTGAGTCCGTAACTTTCATCCATTTGAACATGTTCAATTTTCTGTGTTTTTCCACATCCGTCAGCGCCTTTAGAGACGTTTGACCAAGAATCAGTGAAGAAAATGTGGCGGCGGGACACAGCTGCGACAAGACAGAGGAATAGGGCGCACAGAATCATTTTATAACTCAGACAGTTCACTTTCAACAGGTCAGATCACAACGAATAAAACACAACACATTAGAATCAGTTTGAAAAGTTTCTGTGCGATACGATTTTTTTCAGATGACGGATTTAAAAAACACATCTGAAAAAACTGACTCAGTGTGCAAAGGCCTTTACTGTGAGTGGAGATCTTCTCAAAACAACTAAATGTGTGTTTGCGTGGTTGAATGTTTTTCACATGCCTGGTTGGGTAAGGGGGTCACAAATCTACTTGCCCAAGGTCAATTTTTACTTGTTCCTAATCAAATAGTTTTATTTATTAGCTGTTTTTAAATAACAGAAAAGCTAGTGTTGATGAAAATGGACCCATTTTTATCCGCCTTGCTCTCAAACTTGAGGAAAACCTGCGAAATACATAGTTAGAGTTTCACCCACATTTTCTAACTCCACCCAACCTAACTACCGTATACAGATTAACTGAAATGGTTGCACATACTTTTACCCACCGCCATTTTCTCTCCAGTGCCTGAACAGAGGTGACAACAAAGCAAGATGGTTCACTCCTTTGCTACTTTCATCATCAGCTCTGGAAAAAACTGTGTTCATATTTTACCAGTTGCCTGATCGGGGAAGTCAGTTGCTAGATATACTACAACCCAACATGACATTTTACTTGCCTGAAGCAATCAGGCAGTCATTATTGTTGAGCCTTGTGGACGCCATCTTCCCCTGTAAACAGCATTTTCAAAATCAGTCGGTTTAGTGTGGACAATGTCTAAGTCAGAGGCAGAAGTGCAACAACTGTCAGTGTCTACACAGGATGCATTCAGGTACAGCATTGAGTGTAGGTCATCCATGTTCTGGCAGCTCAAAACACAATCACTGTTATTACACATGTAAAGCTATCCATATGAAAATACACTTGTGTATACTGCAAGCAAAGCTGAAACTGCTGCGGAAATATCTGTTCTGTCAGATGATTAAAAAGCGCCTCCTGTGTAGACTCGCCATACGTCAGATCAGCCCTTATGGGAATTATACAGGGCTTAAAATGATCAACTGAGCTCTGAGATATGTTGCAGTGTTTATAAAAAGTGTGTCTGACCGGTGTAACATTTGCCTCTGACACACAAACTGAACCAGCAGATTGTGTTTCAACTAAATGTCTTTATCAAGTGTAAATTTCTGCATCTTCGAATGAATGTCACCCTTATTATTTCTGATTCAAGAGGAAGCTGATATTGTAAATAATCCACTTTAGAAATTAAACCCTGTAAATTAGCTCATTTGAAGGTTCTTTTGAGGAGGATATTCAGCCCAGTGTTTCCTTAGATACTGTTCCTATTTACCTAAATGTGATTTGTCTCGTGTGCAGGCTAATTGAGCTCAATGACAAACTAAAATGTCACATTTAGCTCTAATGAACATTCGTCACATCAGCAGCTAAATATGTCCTCTTACATGGACATCACACGCCGCAGCAGCAGCTCATTATTTTTAATTAGCTCGACCTTTGCTGCCGTCACTGCCAGTGATACAACAACCATTGAATATACCGCTGTCAAACTAGAGGCCGCAGAGTCGAGGACTGGAAATGCTACACAGAGCTACAGCTTGCATCAGAGTGTGAATCATTGGTGTTTGTGCATTTAAATATCTGCCCCTAAAGGTGGAAGAGAATTGAGGATTTTTAAGGATCAAGAGGGCAAAAATAAAACTCTTTTTCAGTTTTCATGGAATGTTTGGGATTTTCCTCCATCCATTCACATATCGCTTTCTGACTTGCGTCGTCTGCATCGTGTGTTTTACAATCTAAGAGTTCATTTGGAATTTATAGAGTACTCCTGCTGGCGGAGACATCACTGACATTACCGGCAGTGGAAAACTATGGAATGATTGTGCTATAATCTTTGATTCAAGGAATATCTTTAAAAATCAGGGCGAAGTTTTCTCAACTTGTGGGAAGTGAAGGAATGCTTTAAGGTGCTGCGTTCAGGGACCCGCAGCAGTGTGGAAATATTTGAGATCACACTCTTTGTGGGAGCAGGCGGAGGACTGACAGACGTCCTCGCACAGAGCAGCAGTGAACTGAAGAGTAGAAAGAAAACGTGTGTGTGCGTGTGGAATAATTATCTACACAGACAAATGCATGTATGTTTGTGTTTCAGAATGGGTGCTGGTTTGGTCAGGGTGGGGTCAGTCTCCGAGAGCAGCTGAAGCCTGTGAAAGGCATGATGGGAGGGAGACAGGGCAGAGAGTCTGTCCTGCTTTCATTTGGTCTTTAGTTTGCCCACCTCCCCGTTCAGCTTGCCCTCCTTTGCCAGCTTCTCGTTAAGTTGGCACAGTTGGCGAAGGAAGCCGTCGTTAGGGCCGATTTCTCTCTTATGCCTCACGGTGGCCACCGCCAGCCGGGCATCCATTTTGTGGCGCAGCATGAGGTAAGCAACAACCATGGTGGGGGAGCGGCTGTAGCCTTCTCTGCAGTGGACGTACACCTTCCCTGGAGGATGCAAACAGAGGATAGAACAATAAGATGAGTGCTGCTGTGTATGTGCTGCAGAGTCACAATAACATACACCACAGAGAAGTGCTGAGTCTCATCATAAGTCACTTTAAAGCATTCAGCTTGCAGTATTCTGCAGCATCTATATCTTATTCTCAACACATAAAGACCGAAACAATCAATCAGCTACAAATCAAAATCAGATGGTTTCTCCTGAACATTTAATTCTTAGAAACATCTCAGGAAAACATACCGTCATTTTAAAAAGGTTCAATAATCTCCTAAAAAAGCTGCTCACTGTGGTGTTAACAAATGCTACTCAAACTGCAGCAAATAGTGCATTTAATGGGAACTATTTTCAGCAGCGGATTAATCCACATCTGTATGAGTGTTTGTGTCAGCAGGGCGATGTGTGTGGGAGTCAAAATAAACTAAAGTGTGTGTTCATGGTAATGAAGGAACATAATGATGTGGCTCACTGACGTTTCTTTGACAACACATTCTTGCTCTAAACTTGTCAAATATGGCAGTTTGGTCAGTGGCCCTACGCTTCAAACTTTGATGCTCTAGGTCCTCCAGTCGGTTTCCACTCATTACATGCGTAGTGTCTTTTAAAATGAATGTCTGTGTTTACAGGAAACGTAGGTTTCACCACTAGAACTACTTTCGGTTTTGGCAACAAAACTACTCAGTAAAGTTTAAAAAAAAAAAAAAAAGATCATGATTTGAGTTAAATAAAAGTATGTTTCTTGAGTAACTTAAAGCCCCTAGAAGGAACTTTTATTTTGAGTTGATTTTGGCGACCCTGTGGACAAAAGCGGTAGTGTTTTGCCGGAATGAAGCCTACATTTCCCATGAGCTCTAGCGCGTATTGTCGTAAAGACGCTTACCTGGCTCGCGCATGTGTTTGTTTTGGGGATGAATGAAACAACAAGACGGGAAAACTTTGCCCCCGCTCCTATCGGGGATCCCAGCTCACCTCTGCCGCGCCCCAGCTCCACCTCTCCGGCGTAAGCGCCACAGCCGCCAGGGTAAAAGCAGCGGTCGGCTGGTAAGGCTGAAGGCCTGTTTGGTGAGCACTTCCACGACTTCTTGGACTGAGTATGGAGCGGTGCCTCGCCTCTTTATTTCTTGGCACTCGCTGGACCCTGTCGACGCCTGGCTGGTACCTGTCGTCGGCCCGGATGAGGTGTTCCAGCCCCGCGGCCCCTGCTCTCCTCGTCCCCGCTGGTGGGGGTGAATCTGCGCAACCTGCGGCTTCTGTGTGTGGCTCGCCATGGACCCGCCAGCTCCTGCCAGGATTGGGCTGGTAAATGCTAGATCGCTAGCGATCAAAATGTTTATCCTGAAGGATTTCCTGACTTCCCGAGGAATGGATTTTCTCTGTGTGACTGAGACGTGGCTGACTGTTGGTGAGTCCAGTGCTTTCACAGAACTTTTTACCCAACGATTGCTGCTATTTTAACTCCCCGCGGACGTCGGGTCGAGGAGGAGGAATAGCGACTATTTTTAAGAGTCACCATAAATGTAAGCAGCTAGGTAAGATGACGTATGCCGTTTGAGTGCCGTAAATCGTTTCGCCCTGGAAGCGACCTGGTGAGGACCCGGACACAGTTTCCTAAAGGTATGGATATACACTATATAGAAATATCTTATCTTCACACCAATGGTCTCATTTGCTGTTGTAGGTCACGCACAGACATCAGCAGAAACAAGAGACTTTTGCATATCCAGTAAAAAGTTCCTTGTAGCGGCTTTAAGTTACTGAATATGTCACGTGACATTACCTACTAGTATAGGAAAAAACAACAACAACTTTAACATTGACTTTTGGTTTCACACAGGACACAAACACCTGCATTCTGTGTGAAAGTCCTGCATTCTTTTGACCCATCCACATATTATTTTTAGGCCAGATAAAACCAGAGGAATGTATGTTTTATATGGTATTTCTTTTATATTGCACATTGTTATAATGCAGATGTTAAGCCCCTTTCCACCCACGAACATCTGGGTTTTGTCTTTAGTGGGAAAGGGTACAATCAGCATTCATTCACGGGACAAATGACTCTACAGCAGTTACTGGTACTGAACAGCTGCAGCTCCGATCAGCAGTGATGGAAACATGATTGTATTATTCTTGCCCCTTTCCAGGTCGATGCAATGACTATGTTGGTTACTTCTGCGACTCGTCATCTCAGCCACAAAATCTTCACACATCATCCCAAATTAGTCTGCATCGAGTTTTAAAGAGATAGACTGAAGAACCAATATGATAATACCACTGTAATATTCTCACTGGCCTCCATGCTGCTTTCTACTTTTAACTAACCTGTGCATTTGTGACATTGAAGGTGACACGCCAGAAAAAACACAAATGCGCATACTCTTCTACTAGTATTAGGAAAGGACCCTATCACCTATTTTTAACAGGTTTTCCCACATTTAAAAAAAAAAAAAAACTGCATATATGCGCTGGTTTTGGTGGAAGTTGTCTTTCTTTTTAAAGTCACAGTCAAAAGGCAGTTAGAGCATGTTTTGCCTCCATAATGTGTCAAATCCATGGGGAATGCTCAAATGTGACTACCTGTTAAAATTCAATTAGTAGCCTGGGCAAAGTGTTGTTTTATATGTTGGGTGTGGTTACCTAGTCACCCCAAATCCCATTCGACTGGATAAATGTATGAACCTCAAGCCTTAGTCATTGACAGTATTTAAACATTTTACAGAACAAAAGAGGATTTGATGTAACAACACCCAAAAAGAAACCTTTAAACAGATGTATGTTACATTTGACAAGATGTCTTTAAAGAACTGTACAGAAATGTAAAGGTAAACCTGACAAATCACCGTACAGGATATCTGCTTCATGGTGGCTTTTAACTCTGAGACTCTGAGGAGGAAGACAAATGAGTGAAGAAACAAATTAACAAAGAAACACAAAGAAGAGTAAGAGTGGTTTGGGAACATATGCTGTGATCAAAGATGCCTAGCGAAGCATCTTCTGTGCCTGGAGATGCAAATACAGGACCTGACCTCTGCTGCAGACTCGGCAAAGTCAATCATCTTCACCGCACCCACATCCTGTGTAACAACTCAGTGTGTGTTCACACGATATGTGTTCTCTGTTCTGCATCTGTGTTTTCATGTCTGCCTGTTTATTTGTGTGAATCCTGTCTTGTTTGTGTATCTAAGATGTATTTCTATCCAACTTACACTTTCATTACTGACAAGCCAAAGGCACCATGAGGAGTCTGCCTTGGCGAGCAGCACAGAGCAGCTGATGTGCCGAGCTCAGGTCAGATCTGCAGATTCTGCACTTTATTTGAAACCCAACACCTCTCTGTGTCCCTCTCCCAGTGTTACCCCCAACATCTCTCTCTGCTCTCCTCTCCATACTATAATCTGCTCCTATCCTTCTCCCCCTCTGTACTCCACCAGACCAAGTCCTCTGCCAATGAAATGACCTCTTCAATACCTAATCACCCGGCCTGCCACAGATCAATGCTGATTCTCCTGTATCCTCTTGTTAAGACACGCAGGATCTCTGGCTCACCACTTCACTCAGCCTCTTGATCCATCACTCACTCGCTAACAGGGCTGTCATTTTTAATTTGAACATGGAAATAAGTTAAATACTCAAACTGTGATGTAAAAATTCAAACATAAAGTCTTCAGATGGACACACAATGGGAAGTAGTTTTCCTTGCAGTCCAGCAGAGGGCACCCTTTGCATGACGTATTGACCTAAATCTAAGTTAACAAATAAAAACTAAATAAATAATAATAAATAATGTAAAAGCTAATGTATACTTGAATGTAATAAGTATTTAGTATGGATAATGTAATCTTCCGAATTAAATCTTTCAATATCTGTACTTGCGATGAAGGAAATATTGGGTGGTGTTCAATATCATCAACACTGTACCTATGGCACAGGACCTGTGTCGACTTAGTTCCCCAGAAACGTAACTACAAGTTGACCTCCTGTCTATTTTTCTAAGCTGAAACCATTTCCCTCAGTGTAAACGAGGCTTTTATTCACTTTAATTTCACAGATAAGAAACAATAAATTGTGAAGACAATAAAGCCTCCACAAAAGTAGCATTTTAAGTCTTGTGTGTGATTTATCCTGGCCTCATATGAGCAGAGGAAATCTCTGCTAGTCACTAGGCTAATTTATACAGTGTAAATTCCATCGGCTTGTGCTAATAACGTTAGCATGTTGTATTTATTTGGAAAATGTGTTTAGTATAAGACAGTTGTTTTGTCAGTGAACCTTGTGAGTTGGAATGGAGCTGAATTTTGTAGCGTTACCTTTGTTAATGTTGCTGTTGTCCCTGGCTTCATATGAGAAGGGAAAGTCTGCTAGCTGTTGAGCTAATTTATACAATGTAAAATGCCATAGGCTTGTGCTAATAACGTTACCATGTTGTATTTGTTTGGAAAACATGTTTAGTATAAGACAGTTGTTTTGTCAATGAACCTTGTGAGCTGTATTGGAGCTGAATTTTGTAGCGTTACCTTTGTTAAATGTTGCTGTTGTCCCTGATTTTATATGAGAAGAGGAAAAGTCTGCTAGCCGCTAGGCTAATTTATACAATGTAATAAGCCATAGGCTTGTGCTAATAACATTAGCATGTTGTATTTGTGGGGAAAATGATAAAGACAAGTGTTTGTGAATGCTGCGAGTTATAATGAAGCTGATTTGTGTACTTGTGTTTGATATTGTCGCTATTCACCATGTTGTTACCGGCTTCTTCTTCTTCTGTTACACATTTAATGCTACTCGAATTCTGGGTCAAAGCACGGAACGGAAACTGTGGAGCATGCTCAGAGCGTCTAGGCCAGTGTGGGTCTGATTGACTGTATACATGCAGGAGGAATTCAACTCCCAATCACATTGTCTAGGTGTGTTAGTCCGAGTTTGAGAAATTAGAGTTAGTATGACTAACACGTTTACGTGTATTTTAAAAAGTCTGGTTTTAGTCAGACTAACACAATAAATCAATTTTCTCTAATGTCATGCAAACGCACTGACTGTTAAACTATGGAAGTTACAATTAAAATTACGGCTCTGCCTATTTGGAAATTGCAATTTAAGACTTTAAAGAGGCTCTGTAGACCCTTGAAAGTTTGCTATATGAGCTCATTAACACAATCACTTGCTGTAACATGCAGTAACCTTGTGTCTTCATTATGACAGACACACAGGAACAACACATCCATGCAGCTCCTCATTAAAATCCCAGACCTATGACTTTCTCAGAGCTCGCAGCGAGGAGGTCACAAAATGTCAAAGATAATGTTGCACATAGCACAATGTCAAACTACAGCAACAGCAGGCAGCAGAGTGGAGGTGAAACACTGTCTCATATCATCCTCCCTCTGCTCTGCTCTCCTCACTGCTACAGTCGCTCCTGATTTACCACAGCGTAGGAGATCCTTCGCCAAACTGCCTGAGAATTAAGATGCCTCTCCATGTCAAGGCTGACAATAAATCCGTGCCATAAAATACAGGGTTCAGCACACTAATTAAACGCATCCCTCACGTGCGGTGACAAATTAACTAAATTTAGTTGCAGCTTCGGGAGAGCTGGGGAAAGATTTTTTTTGGTGAGGGGAGGGATGAGGCCTCCTGGGACTGATTGTTCCTTCAGTCTGCATTTTCTGCCTCACAAAATGCAGCACATGTGAAATGTTAAAATACAGAACACCTGACCTCGTAGGTATATCACAGCTAATTTAAGACCTAACTCCCGTGTGATTTCTGCATGTGTCAGACATTGTTTCATTGTTTTATTCCGGTCCAAAAGTGTCGTATCACCCGTTTAACAAAGCTGCTGTAGGACACAATGAGGTGCATCTGGTGCTACAGGTGAGTTCTGCGTGGAACATTTCGACATGATCTGATAATGGAAAATGGAGCAGGGCTCAGGAGTGTGTCAGATTTAGCCCGAGACGCTCAGGGCCGTCGTGATTATCCTCTGCGTTCACTTTAAGATCCACAGCGATGAACTGAGAGTGAATCATTAAAAGACACCTTAAATCTTGTCTCCTTTGTTCGACGAGCAACAAGAGGAGCTTGTTTTCGTGTCTCAACCTGTGGAGACAAATTACTTTGAAGCGGGAGCTACTGAAGTGAGAACAACACTGTGTTCCCCTTTGATCTGCTCTACATTTGAGGGGTTTAGTTAAGACATGAACTCTCAGTTCTCTTTGGGCTTCAGGTGCATTTGCACATACCGATACCAGATGATATACCGTTCTCTGCCAATATCTGATAATCTTTAAGTTTCATGTTCATTTTGGCACTGCTGTTACTGATTTTATTATCTTACCAGTCATTTCTAGGGGCGGGAACCTGCAATATATTGCAGCATATTTGAAAAAAAAAGAGAAAAATAAAAAATTCAAATGACCTCACCTTTGCCATTATTGTGTGCGAGGGCCTTGTCGATAAAATCAGCCCCCTCCTCAAAGAAGGCACTGAGGTTGAACTGCTCCGTGTCGTTGGCCTGGATGCCGTGGTATGTGATGCCTGTGCCGGCATAGAAATCCACACTGGTGTTCACATGCATGAAGGAGGTGCCCTCTGCCACGTTGAGGACGTGCGTCACCCCGAGTTTCTGCAGACGCATTGCATTCTGGGCTACGAACCTGTGTATTCAGGATCAGAGTAGAAAACTACATTACTTCAATCACTTTAGCAAGTTGCTGATGTTGAAACAAACTCTGTGCACCAGTAAAAACTTATGAAGTGCCACTGTTGATGATAAAACTTCTTTGTTCTCTCATAACACAAAATGATGAGTGTACAGCAGCAGAGCAAGACATCAAGACAAATAACAGCACTAATAATAACACCTGACAGATACAGCAAAGCAGCATGTCAGCACAATTTATTTTAAAGTGATACTTTGACAATGTAGGTTGCATCTTTCACGACCGCTCTGCATGAGCACTGCGCTGGCACCATCACAGACACTCTTTATCTGCTGGGAGCTGGAAACACTTCTGCATGATGTTGTTTTTAAACAGCTCTCAAATATGTCTTTGTACATGTTATCCCAAACTGTGGGACTAATTTGATGATCACTGCTTTTATTCATAATTTAATTTTAAAAAATGTAATAAAAAGCCAAAGGTGACGTCTTTAAGGCCACACAGGTGTTTTCACTTGTTCTGCTCAGGTTGAAGTTGGGCAGAGATAATTCATCTGATTGTGTACACCTGTTTCTTTTCCAATTTAAAACACTATAAAATGAAAAAAGTGTTTGTTTCACTGCCTTAACATTTGCAAGAAATAGTATGCCTAACATGACTAGAAGACTTGATAAAGACTTTGAAAATACTTCTACAACTTACTTTTACTTCTGTGTTGAATCAACACCATACCAACGCTGTAGCCTGACGTGCACCTCCCCAGAAATGTCACTACACCTCACGGTAACATAGACCTCCTGTTTGTTTGTGTAAGCTGACACCATTTCCCTCCCTTCCCTCTTTACTTTAATTTCACAGATAAGAAACAATAAATTGTGAAGACAATAAAGCCTCCACAAAAATAGCATTTTAAGTCTTGTGTGAGATTTATCCTGGCTTCATATGAGCAGAGGAAATCTCTGCTAGCTGCTAGGCTAATTTATACAATGTAAAATGCCATAGGCTTGAGCAAATAACGTTAGCATGTTGTATTTGTTTGGAAAACATGTTTAGTATAAGACAGTTGTTTTGTCAGTGAACCTTGTGAGTTGTAATGGAGTCGAACGTTGTAATGTTACCTTTGTTAAATGTTGCTGTTGTCCCTGGCTTCATGTGAGCAGAGGAAATCTCTGCTAGCTGCTAGGCTAATTTATACAATGTAAAATGCCATAGGCTTGTGCTAATAACGTTAGCATGTTGTATTTGTGGGGAAAATGTGTCCAGATAAAGACAAGTGTTTGTCTGTGAATGCTGCGAGTTATAGTGAAGCTGATTTGTGAACTTGTGTTTGACATTGTCTCTATTAAGCCATGTTTAATGTGAGTTTAATGTGTGTTTTGAATCAACTAAACTTTACAGCACTTCACAGAAACCTCTGCTGCTGACTAGTGTTTTGGAGGTGTAACTGCAGAGTGACACAGACACATATTATTTGGATATTTGCAATACTATGGCTGCATCCAGGCCTCAAGTCTGTTTCACATCACAATCATTGTAACTGTGGTCATATTCTGTCTGCTCATCTGTCCCTGCAGATAACAAGATATAAATCTCATGTACAGGGTTGTTTTGTGAGTGAAGAAAATAAATTCCTGTAAAACACGCAGACTTTTTTTTTGGAAACAATTTTCAATCAGGACCTAGTGACTAAACAGCTTCACCTCCATCTTCATCTACTTATCTTTCAGGAAACAATAAATCTGCTCCCCTCCTGTTTCACTGTTCTTTGTTTACAAGGATTACAATACTGCATATTGGGCCTACACAGAGCAAACAAACTGTAACAAAGCAATACGGGGATTTGGCTGCTCCAGCCCGCCTGGCTCGATGCCTGTGTCCACTGTTACGATCCAACCTGGCCGAAGGCACTGCCCATTGATTCTGAATAAAACGCCTCTTTTGTTCATGTTGTGTTCAAGTTTTATGGAACATTTAGTGTCACTAATTAGCTATACAGATATTTATGTTTATATGACAGAAAACTGCATCATATTGTTGCTCTGCAGCTGACAGAGACACACACATCATGATTTCAATCAAAAATGGTATATATGCTGGTGACATGTGTCTACCTCTCTCCAGTGTGTTTTCTCCTTTACTGTTAAATGAATACTTCACTACCTAAATTACCATTTCTATATCAGTTACTCACTCTGTATTATGCTGAATTTGCCTGCAGTGAAGAGTCCAACAATGGAGAAAGTTCTTGATGAACTGAACTCATAGGGGTCTAACATGTTTAACAACAGCAAAACTATGTGAAAACATCAGTTTACAACCTCTCACAGAACCCCTGCAGTGTAATCCAAGTCTCATTTATCCAGTTCTTTGCTCAGTACTTCCCAAACAGACAACCCTTCCTGACAGGAAACAGAACGTGAAATTAAATCTGCCTTGTTCAGTTAATTTGTTTGTTTGTGAATTTGGTGAGTCTGAATTAAACCTTTTAAGAGGCTGTGCGCATGCCCCCTCCTTAACCACCTGGAAAACACAAGGTCAGGCACTGGGTCCTACTCTGTGCCAACTTTTAAGGGTGTGGAGGCAGGTTGCGCCTGAGGTTGCCGGACATAACCAGCATTGTATCATAGCCTATTTATCAGAAATCCTGAGTGCAGAGCTGATCTTCTTCTAGGCCTGGTTTTGTAAGTGTATTAGGCCAAATATATTGTCCGTGGGACAGATGTAAAACTTCTTTATAAAAATGAACTGAATGCCTTTCAAGGATCTTTTTCAGGATCCACGGAGACCTTGTTTGATGTGGTTTTGCTGCATGTTAAAAAATGCAGTCGCCAATTACTTCAGTCCATCAAGAATTCTCTTTGTTTTTGGATTCTTCGTTTATCGTGGAGGCATGTGAAAAAAAACCAATGCTTTCTTTACAATTCTATGTAATACGTTGTGAGTAACTGATACATAAATGGTCATTTGGGGGGTGAAGTATTCCTTTAAATGCATTTAAATTAGGGATGTAAAATAATGCATTAATTTTGATTGATTAATCACAAAAAACAACACACTAAAAAATGTAACGCTGATTAATCATGTTCTGTGGTGCCCTTTGACCTGGTGCATCTTTGAAGGCCACAATCGCTTTGTCACATGATGGAAGCAGATGAGACGATGCTGCTTCACCAAAAGAACAGAAAAGAAACTTTCTACACTTAATCTATTTTGAGAAGACAAAATTAACCTAATTACACTACTGCTTCACCCTGCGAATGGAACACCTACATTTTAAAAACGTTTCATTTTCATACCATCGGAGTACTTCAAGCCTGAAATATCACCTCAACACAAAGCATTCAGCAGCAAACCTGGAGGTCTGAGCTAACACACCCTCTGATGTTAGCGCTAGCAGTCAGCCTCGTCAAGCCACACTCGACCAGGCGTTCAGATACAAACTGAGTCAGTCTACCTGTGACTGAGTAACTACCTCCCTTGCAAAATGGACTGCAGACCAGTTTCGTTGGTAGAGGACAGGGTGACAACTGTGTCCAAAATCCAGCAGCTTCACAACACACCTGCCAAAATTCATTTGAATTGAATTTTTTTTTAATTAATTTCACAGCAAAAATTGATGTGATTATTGATGTTAATTAATCACAAAGTAATTTAAATGAATTAAAAACACAAGATTAGAGATGAGTTCTTTCATAAAAGATGCACAATATCAAATGTATACCAACACTGTTATTATCCCTATAATGCCTTATATAGTAAGCACAAATGTGTTGTTTCAAATATTATAAAAGCTAAAAGCTTTAGTTCTATATCTGCTTATTTTTATTTGGACCTGAGAATGATAAATCTTTGTGTAAAATGCTCACCCTGACAGCGCTGAGTGCTTTTATCGCTAGATCTCTTTACAGTCAATATGAGGCTGCCGAGGCGAGGCTAGGTGACCCTGGACAGCTCCCTAGAGGCGGTGGCTGCAAAGCCCCCTCTGCAAGGTCTAATAAAAAATCCTCCCTGCCAACATTTTTGCTTTATGGCTGTTGGAGAAGGGATGAAGCAGCCCATCTGCTGGTGTGTCAGCTGCAGGGCACACAGTCCTTCAGACGGGAGGACTCTTAATTCACATTATCCTCTTTTTTATTCAGAGTATGTCAGTATATATTAAGACGTATGCCTGAGTACATGCTTACATGTACAGTACGAGCACTTACAGTGCAACATAAGTAATGTGAGTGTGGAAGCAGAAGTGACTGTACTCGTACACAACACAATGCAGAGGCACACACTGTGGTTCAAGCGAGTTCACAGCCAATGGCTCCCTCTCCTATTTTACCTGGCCTGTCCCAGCCTCCTCCACCCTGGGATCCGCAGTCCCACAACATCCATTATTAAAGACCAGCTTCAAAAAGAGCCAGTGTTCCCCAAAGCAAACAAACCACACCTTAAGTGTGTCCCTGAGCTGTACACGGCGGATTCATAGTGCTGACTACAACTGATCTGAGAACAGTGGAAGGAGCTCTGGAAAATACACTCATAATGCATTTCAGAGAGAGATGGGAGCGTTTTACTGACGAGTTCATCAAAGTGTGGGGAGTTATTGACATTACTCACGGATCATCATTTTTAAAACTACTGTATTATCGTTGGAGGTTCGATGTGGATGGGCCCGCATTTCTTTCTTCACCCTGCCAGATGTCTGTTTTTTAATTTCTTCAGAATGTATTCTTGCTTCATCCCTGGGATCTGTTTTTATTTTTCCAGGAATGTCACAAAAAACGCTACCTTAGTAGAAAGCTGTGCCAAAATTCTGAAAACATAGTGGTACTTGTGTTTCTCCAGTACCATAGGTACCAATGATGCAGTTCTTCTCAACCTGGCGGGGCAACTTGAACATCTACAAGTGTTCTAATCTGCTGTTAAATACCAAAGGAAGAAGAATGTCTACCAGCATGAAACAACAACAACAATAACACATGAAAGCGTCAACAACAGCTCCGCTC